AACAACCAAGGGGCCTTCAGCCCTTGATGAAAAGCAGTTAGAACATATGGGACTCTTAGCTTGGGGAAAAGTGAGTATGCAGAGATGCAACAAAATTGTATAAAATATAAACTCACATTCTGGCCTCCCTGCTACCCTAACAGCACACCCACTTCCCTCACTATGAGGAGGGGGTCAGATCTATAGAACTGCATTATTTAAAGTAAAGTTGCCAGCTTATTTCCCAGCAGGGTTTCTGTGCTCTTAACAGCATTACAAACCAAATCAGTAGGTAGACGAACATTTGCACATCACAGAAGACAAGTTTGCCTGCTGTATTTCTGCTTGGTAGGAAGCTGCTGAAGGCACAAATGTTCTGCCAGTGAAGAAAAGAACCAGTAGGTAGCTCTGCTTCTGAATGAATAAACATGGTTCTCTGTGGTACCTCCACTTTTTCCTAGTGGCTTCCAAACCTAGGGATAGAAAAGGGCCTTTATTTCTCTCAGTCAGGATTTCAGTACTTGTGACTGACTGCTACAGTTGCAAGCAAAATTGGTCTTCAAAGCATTGATTATGCTTTAAAGCATTGATTAAGCATTTGTTTTGCTGCGTTACTCCCAAATAGTTTTGATGCATGGCTTTGCATGTGCAAGCTGCTGCTTTCTGAAGATGGCTGCTGTCTGCAGATCTGAATACTTCTAAAAAGATCCAGGCTCATGATGAATGTATACAGTTAGGGAAGAGATGGAATGGGCTGGCATGATGCCATTCATGGCCCCTGAAAATGTCTTTCTGATTGGAGGCCCTTAAGGCAAGTCCAAGGTTAAATTAAAAATTAAATTCAAGAGGGATTCTAACTTTACTATTCATTAATATTATGGAATGCTAGAAAAACTGAATAGCCTTCCCTAACTGGACATTCTACATATGTCTTGGAATTCAACTCCCATCAGCCTCAGGCAGCACAAGCTTATGGATGATGTAGCCCAGAACATCCATAGGGTACAAGGTTTTGGAAGACTAGTGACTAGGTCACCATTCAGGACTTGCACGATCATTTCCAACTTCAGTTTTACCTCCTCTTCCACATCTTCATGTTCAGCTCGGTGTAGGAATCGTGGGAACCTTTTGCAGGGCTATTTTTAAAAAATGGTTCCTTGCTCCACAGCAGAAAGGCCTCTGCCTCACCTGGATCCAAGGTAAAAGAGAGGCAGAGCTGGCATCCCAGCCCAAACCTCTGGATGACCTCTCCCAGCAGCTTCAGGTAGATGTTAAAGAGCATGGAGGATCCCATGGCATAAACGCCCTGCAGAGCAACCATCCCCCAGCACCACCTTCTGGATACGGTCGGTCAGGTGGGAGCGGAGCCACCGCAAAGCAGTGCCCCCAGCTCACACTCCCCCTGGCAAAGGTCATTGCCCAGAGCTACCAAGGCAGTCACCGCCCCAAAGCCAGGCCTGAAACTGATTGAAACGGGAGGGATACAAAAATAAATACCCTTGGTGGGGGGATGCCTCCTGTCAGGAGCTTTTCACTTACCTTCCTTTAATAGCTGAATGACAACATCGGCATGTGCTCCCATTTAAACGTCCGAGGAGTGCACTTTGAGTCAGCAGCCAACCCCTGCAAAGCTATGTTGAGGCTGGTCTGTCTGGTCTGCTGCACTCAGCAAGTCTAAACGCTCCCACAGGCCTTGGGCCTTTCCAGAGAATGTGTGTTTATTGCACAATAAATGCTCGGTTCTTGCTCAGCCTTCTTCAATGGCTCTGAAGAGGGTGACCAGATGCATAGGTCAGGAAAGGTTTCTATCACCAGTGAGAATAAAAGGAATTCGTGCAAGATGCAACTTGTTGTGCATGGGTGAAAGAAGCAACACCTGCAGAAATTCCCACTCCAATACATCCATTAAATACAGAAGCCCAATTACGCTGTGATTACTTCGTCTCTCCCTCATGATATATAAATTCACTGTGCTGAACCACTCAGAGTGGAGTTCTGTATAAGCAGGAAGGCACTGTTGCTGCCTTCTGGAAGCTGGGAGAGGGAGCCAGAAAGGTGTTAATTAAAAAAGAGGTTTCTTCATCCCCACTCCCCACCCCGCAACTGCTGCATCAAAGAAGCTCTCAGATTGAGCAATTGAAAGTGCTCTCAATGGGGTCTACTTATATGACCTGAGAATAGTGTCATTTTAAAAAGGTATCCACTGGGATGGCAGGGCCTGTCCTTCAAGAAGGATAAAAAACTCCTAATGAATGTTTTAATGGAAGTGCCTGTCTTTCTGCCACCTGTGCCTCCTCTCCCCCCACCCAGCCCCCAATATATGCAGATGCAGAGTAATAAGTGGAGATGGATCTGTTGTGTCACAAGACCTGGAGTGGCATTGGAAGTGGTGCAACACCGAAAATTGGCGGGGGGAGGGGGGTTGGAGAGAGCGCTAGTTTATCTTTATTTATACACTGCAAAACATAAAAATACCAGGATGGTGTACAGCATTAAATTTCAACAAAGTACCAGATAAGGCTAAAATGAGCACATTCAGCCATTTTGTGGATTATGTAATTGCTTTAGCTTTCTTGTGGATTATACTAAAGGGAGCACCTGAGTGAGCAAGTGCCCCTGAAGCAGGTGTCCAGGGTGCAGAAACATCAGTGTGTATTTAACATTAACGGGGAGGGATTTTCATCAGGTAGGAGCTAGACCACTAAAAGCCCTCTCTTTGGTAGCCGTTAGGTGAGCCTCCAGAGCATGTGGCAGAAACAAGAGCTTATCTACTGAGGCTCACAGGGACTAAGAAGGTGTGTACAGGCTCACACTGAGGTAAACTAGTCCCAAGCAATCACCTTGGTCCAGTAGCACGTTGGCAGCCAGTGCAGTCCTTTCAGCAATGCTGCCTGCTGTTGAGAACGTGCTTCAGACGTCAGCCTTGCAGCTGCGGCTTTTGGACCAGCCCCACGGGAAGGACTGCATGTAATGTGTTGCTGTAGTCCAACCTTCCCTGACCTGGTGCTTCCCAGATGTGCTGGACTGCATCTCAGCCAGCGTGGCCACATGCATCCGGCTAAGGAAGGCTGGGGTAGTCCAGTCTTGAGGGAACCCATGCCTGGGTTACTGTGGTCAGAGTCGTCATGGTCTAGGAATGGTTGCAGCTGCTGAACCAGTCAAAACAGGCCAAAGGCATTCCTTAGGTTCCAGGCTCCCTTGAGCCTCAAGTGACAGCGATGGAACTGTCTGTCCAGGAAGCTTGTCCATGTTGCTGGTCTAAGGTGACCTAATCTGAGTAGCTGTAGCATTGTGTGCAGACTCTTAGGATTGTTCATTTGCTGGTGTAATCCTCCAGTTTTGCTACTGTGTCTAAAGAGCATTTTCAGGTATCCTTTTTAAAAGCAAGGGAAAATGTGATATTTAATTGTAAAATCAAAATAAAATATGGTTTCTATTTGTGTATGTGTATCACAGCACCATGCAGATATAGTAGAAATGAAGGAAAGGAAACACTCCCTGTGTAGTACTTGGATCTCAGTTCTTTAATACAACCAAAAATAGGTACACCGAATCAATAGCCTCATATAGAAAAGCTCAAAGTGTCTCCCCATTAGGCGTATCACCTGTATGCTCATCAAGGCAAAGGCCATGAGTTAGGCGTGAGTAGCCGCTGAACACGAGTTCTTTGGTAAATGTATAGTTCATTTGTATTCCTTCCTCCATGTCTTGATTTTCAGAGGGCATGTAAGCTGTGCCTTGTCATTGTGAGGCTGAGGGAGAGACTGGCTCATGGTACCCAGGAAACTTCATGGCTGGACTGGAATTGCCTGCATCCAAGCTAGCGTTGTCGTCATCTCTGGAGAGCACTGCTTCATTGTAGCCTTTATGTAACACACAGGTGTTGAGCCTCTTTTGTCCCAAGAGTGGAATTCCATTTTGGAGAAGATGAGTGGGCCCTCCGGGGGTGGAGGGCCATAAAGACTATATATTGTCCACTAATGCTCTCTCTGCCAGCAGCTAAACCTTAGGAGAAGCTTTTCAGCCTTTTAGAATAGGAGGATTTGAGGCATGGCCTTTCAGGGTACCCAGGCAGGCTAGATTGGGCAACCCAGGCCTAAAATGTAGAAGGAGTCATAGGGGAATTGCGGAAGGAGGGATTTTTACTTCACTTCTCTAACCTTGCTAGATTGTGCATGGGGCTAATGTGGGAAGGGTATTTATAATGCCTACCTTTGACTGTTTATGTTGAGAACCACTCTATGGCAGGTTCACACATCACAGGAAGCTGTGGTGATTTCTTACCCTTGTTAGTCTGTCATGTCATCTGGTCCCGTTTGCGGCATTTCTGTGTGGTACCACTAGCTTCATGAAACCACAGAGTGAATCAATGGTCTCTTCTAAGGTTTCCATGCTTCACCATGGCTTTTCATGATATCTGAGCTCAGGATATCCATTTTACCATTGTTAGTATGGAAACATCATAACAATCCTGTGGAAAGAATGGCCATTCAGCTATCCATTCTCTGTTGCCCTCAGTATTCAACATGTCCCATCACCTGCTCTGTTCCTGTTTGCCGATTGATGGGCCTGTCACCCTGTTTACTTTCAGAAACAGGGACAAAGTGGGGAAAGACATGGAGGGAAAGGGGGGAATCATGGCAAGCTTTTTTATTTTATTTTCATGAATAATCTTCTTGGGGCTGGAGAGGCTGGGAAGTGCTGCAAAGATGCGGACACATTTGGGAGGGAAGAGAGAGAAGCCACCTCAAACCTCAGCAGGCCAGTGAGGATGAGGCCGCTGAGGTCCATAGGGAGCAAGAGAGTCGGGAAGGAGATTGCGCTCGCCAGGGAGGGCTGGTGGGGGTGAGAGGACAAAGCTGGGAGTGTGGGACCCACACGGCCCAGCAGCCGTGCAGTCATCTGACCAGTAAGCTCTGGCACAAAGCCATGTGCTGTGGAAAACTGCAGGGTTGTTTGCTGTGACATGCAGACTTGGCTCGTGTAGCCCCAACGCTCTTCCTCTTTCCTTTCCTTTGCAGCTCACCCCTGGGGGCAAGGCAGCCCAGGCAGGCGTGGGTGTTGGTGACTGGGTGCTAAGCATCGATGGAGAGAATACCAGCACCCTCACCCACATTGAAGCACAGAACAAGATCCGTGCCTGCGGGGACAAGCTCTCCCTCAGCTTAAGCAGGTAAGAAGCTCTTAGTCCAGATGCTTTGGCTTCTGCTTCCAGGAACAGAAAGTGCAACAAGGAATGAAGAGGTGGTCTGAGCCGACACATAACTTGCCTTCAACCCAGTTTTTGGGGTACCAGGCTGGTCTTTCCCAGACTGGAGTTTTGAACTACAAATCCTAGCATTGCTGACCGTTACCCATGTTGCTGGGACTGATGGGAATTGAAGTCCAAAACATCTGGCGAACACCAGGTTTGGGTAGGTTTCAGCAGGGTAGACTGAACAGTAACTGCTACTCCTTTACCACATATTTATATCCAGTTAAGGTGCCTGACACAGACATAAAAGGTGCATCTTCTACTGTTTTTTAAGACACAGGTACCCCTAATTGTCATGTTCTTAGCTTAGGAAATAGTCTAGGAAGCTAAAAACAAAGCATTGGGCAGTTTGGAAAAATTAGGCTGGTGCTTTTGAATTTTCAAGCCAAAACTCATGATTCTTCCTAAGATATATGAACTTGGGTTGACCAAAGTACTAAAAATGCAACCTTTCTGGACTGACTTAAGTTTGCCTGAAAACTGGCACAGAAAGTAGGGCCAAGATTCTGATTGGTGCTTAGCAATCTGAGCTAATTACCTGGATTTCTCTGCTGACTGCCTGTTGTTTTCAGGTCCTGTTTAAAATGCTGGTGTGGCGATTTAAAGCCTTTAACAGCTTGACACCAGGTTATTTATTTATTTATTATATCCATTTTTTTTCTTATACTCAAAACAGCTTACATAATTCTCCTCCTGCTTTCAGTCTTATCCCCACAACAACAACCCTGTGAGGTAGGTTGGGCTGAGCATCTGTGACTGGCCCAAAGTCACGCAGTTGGCTCCACGGCCGAGTAGGGGCTAGAACCCAGATTGCCCGAGATCCCAGTCTTGTGCTCTGAATCACTGAAGCACACTGGCTCTCTTGAGGTTATCTTAAGGCAGGGCTGGAGAAGGAATACCCTTCCTCTGGATGTTGCTGTACTGCAACTCCCATCAGCCCTGGCCAGCTTAGCCAATGCTGAGGTATGATGGGAGCTGCGGTCCATTAGCATTTGGTTGGCTACCCCCTCCCTACCCCTGCCTAAAGAATTACCTTTGCTTCTATGAATCTGCCCAAGGTTTTATGATCAGTATGAAATGCTCTGTTCTCTGGCCTGACAGTGCTGGAAAATACAGTTGACAGGTATCAGAGATGGTGGTGCCTCAGTTATAGAATGCCCTCTCAACAAGGCCCCCTCTTTCTGCCTACAGATGAACAGTAAAAGGCACAATTCTATGTATATTTAGACCGAAAAAAGGCCTACAGCTCCTAGTTGTGTTAGCTGGCCCTTTTTAGTGTCTAAAGATGCATAGAATTGCACCCTAAGATGTCTTTGTTCAGACAAACTTGTAGCATTTAAATTTCTATATTGTTTTATGTTATGTTTTTGCTGCTGTTTTTATTAATTATTGTGCCTTTTAATTTTTTGCTGCTTTGAATAAATTTCTTACATAGAAAACACAGTATAATGTCAGAATGAATAAAACATCTGTTGGATATACCAAATTGGCCATGATATGCATGTGTTAGATACCATTTTCAACTCAAATGAAGGAATGGGTTGTCCAGAAGATGCTACTACAAGGATGTTATGTAACCCCCTTGGTCCCTCTGCTGCCCACCTGGGATCCCTTGTTGAACACAGAGTGTGTCAAGTCCTGTGTGTCCAAGTCATTTTGATTTCCTTTTATGCCACTTGTCTCCATCACTATGCAAAAGGCAAAGTAACTATGGAGATTTTGCTGCTGGTTGTGCTTTTGTGGGGAGTTACACACAAACATGGGGACTAGTTATCAGAGAACGACTGAAGTAACTAACAGTATCCTGGCATAGACAGACAGACAAATACTGGAGGTTGGACTGGGAAGAACAAGAAGCCCTGGGCTCAGAGGGCTTTTAATCTTGTCCTGCAAGGGACTAATCTAGTCACCAAAACTCCATGACTGAACTCACAGTGCGGTTCTCCCAAAACATCCTGTTCCCAATTCCTGATGATCTGCAAGGAGCCAGGCTGCTTGCACAGGGTTCCAGTAGCCCCTGTGATCGCAGAGCTGCCCTCAGTGTGCGACTGTTGCGGCAGGTGTCTGACCTGTACAAGGCTCTGCCGGTGAGTCCCTACCAGACGTTGTTTTTCTGCTAACAGCAGCCTCTTCTCTTCACAGAGTCCAGAACCTCCTAAGCAAACCTCAGAAGGTACGTGCATCATGCCTCTTCTCTCACTGACATCAGCGGGTAGTCGCCCCGCCACGTGTCTCATGGTGTTCGTATGAAGGGCTGCAGTTCAGAGCACTGGGCGGTCCATCCCCACCTGAGACTGCCTCCTAGTTCAAATCCTCTGGTCTTTCCTTGGGAATATCCTCCCTATATTGTTATGGGGTCGGTGGCAGAGGAGAGTTTCCTGCACATAGCCTGGAGGGTGGGCAACTGGGTGAGCATGGTTTGTGTTGGATGCGTAATGCGGTAGCATGTGCATGTGTACATTTTTCCTGGCCTGCCCTCCTTCCAAGACCGGAAGGTAGGCAAGGCAGGTGTTTCTACCTGTCCCGGCTCCCTCCCACTCCTTGGGGCCGTGTTGGAGCAGCTGCTTCTGCTCTGTGAATGACTTGGGGGTTGTCCGCAGCACATCCGTGGCATTGGCTGGTGCCTTGGCTGCTGCTGACCGGGAGTGCCTGCTTGGTAATGGCTCATTGCCTCGGAGCCCAAGGAATAGTCCTGTGGGCAAAGATCAGCCTGGCTTTCGTGGAGGGCATGCTGGCCCCTGGCCTCCCCCGGCGGTCGGCTGCTCTGGCCTGTTGCCTGCCTGTGGCATCAGCTTGGGTGTTGTGTGTTTTGTCTCCTCTCCTGCTCAGGATGCCTTCCATTCCTCCGAGCCCCTGAAATATAACTTCACACCCAGCACTGCCCTCAACAAAACGGCCCGGCCCTTTGGAGCTTCCTCTGCTCCAAACACTAAGCTGGGGCTGGTGACGAAACCGGTGCTGTACACTCCCTCTGCATCCATCTGCACCACACAGCATAATGGGTATGTTGCTGTGCGTCCAGGCTCTCTCTGGCCGTGGCTTTTAGGGCGGGGCGAGGGTGGGTTGGAGTGACCTCACTGCGGAGCCCGGCCACAAATTGCTGCCCACAGACGTCCCTCTCTGCTCACCCTCTGCATGTCAGGCTCTGCATGTGTGGCTTGCCTTGGGTGGGTACGGTGTGGGCTGTAGTCCTTAGACATCTGGTGTCACAGTGACCTCTGGTGGCTGGAGCTTGTATTACATCGCCTAAATCCAACCGAGAGTGTGATTGAGGATAGCTAATCAAAAGCAAAACTGTTAACAAGCCCGTTGCCATCATACTTCATTTCTTTTCACCTGCTCTCACTTCTGGACAAATCCATAGACAGTAATTAGGATCTCTGCCCAAGGAGCTCCACGGCTTGTCGTTCTCTTGACTTACATGCAAAGTGATTAGTTTCTAGAGTCTGAACGGCAAGTGTTTGTTGTTCGTTCCCTGCTTGTGGGTTGCAGTCAGATGACTCACTAGAAAAAGAGTGAATGTCGGTGGTGGGCCCAGCTGTAATTCTCTCCCTCCCCTGGTAAGTGACAACATAGTTTTATCCCAGTTCAGAACAAAAGATCCCAGACTAAAGGCTTCCCTTCGGTCGGCATTCCTTGGAAATGAGCAATATAGAGTTTGGTAATGCTGAATTTCTAGTTTGTTAAGAAAGGAGTTAGACTGAAAGCCTATGTAAGTTATGAAAAAATGCCTGTAAAATGCAAAATCAGCCTTTTCCTGTGGACAGCAGTGGGGCCTCCATACCCTAAAGTGGTATCTTCTGCTTCTGTCTTGGTAGCTGTGGGGCTTTGAGAACCCCCCAAGGCCATGGTCTTTGACTTTCTGCCCTCTGCGAGTGTGTATGTGGAGGAGCCCTCCTGGGGAAGTCATTGGCTGCTTTGGTAAGAAACCTGTAGATTCTTCCCAGGTGTTCCCTCTGCAGAATTTGAAAGGACTACAAGAATGTAGGAGGGGGGTGGTGGTCAGTTAATAAAGAGATGCAAACACAGCCTCTTCCATCAGCAAGCACTAGGTCCTGCTGGTGGGCGTACAGGAGGGCAAGAGCTGCTACATTACATGCTTTGTTGGTGGGACAAAGCCCCTCTTTTCCGGGCTGGGGGAAACACCATGGGTGGACAGGCTGCTTCCAGCTGGATCCCCTGATGTCAGTGAGCTTCAAAAAGGGTGAGCAGATATGCTTGGTATTGGCAGCTCTGTCCACCCCTTTTGTTGCCAAGACGGGCTGCTCATGTCTGGAAGGCAGCCCTGAATGCTGGACTGCATGTGAGCTGTAACCGGTCTCTCTGGCTTTGGACACTGCTGAAAATAGTGCCGTTTTGACATGACTTCTTTAATTTGGTGCATTAAGATAGCACTGGCAACTTTTACTTTGAAGTTCTGTATCTGTATCTAACGCCGCTCTGACACACACGCATGCACGCACGAACACAGTATACGCTGTGCTTCTCCTTGGTGTGCGTGACTGGTTCGCACAGATGCTTCGGACGGGGCATTTGAGTGAGGCCTGTATGGTGGGGGTACTCTGCATGCTGCTGGAACGGTGATGAAGCTCCGTCCTGGCAGTACTATTTCATTTCCTATTGCTAGGGAGGAACAGCTTTCTGTACTGGAAGTGGCGAAAAAGCATGGTGTGAGCGTGCTGTGCATTGTTGTGCAAAGCTTTCACCAGAGAGGTTCCATGAGCTTTCACTTACCAGAACTTAGGTGGGAAGGGCCGTTGGCTACTGGGTGGCATGCAAATAAATAGGGATGTGCTGCCAAGCCAGTTTATGCATAGGAACTTTTCATGTTAGGGAATTCTTCTGTCTGGGTGATGCAGCTCTGTTCTGGTTTTGGTTTCTTTATTTATTACAGAGTCTCACTGAAGCTTTATTCCATGTGTGGAAACTTTTGATGCTGGAGTTTGAAGTGTTTAAATGTTGTTCTCTCCATCTGGATCTCTGGTGGTGCTATGCAGCCTTCCCCAAGCTGATACTCTCTAAATGCATTGGCTTCCCATCATTCCCAAGCAACACAACTCCCATCATCATCTCAACATCTGGTAGAGGAAGCCTGAAAGTTGGCAGTGCAGGCTTTCCTCCGCCTTCCCCCTTGAAAGGCTAGAAAGCATTTTTATCACTCGCTTGTGGCTCTAATCTGTCTTTCTTGTCTGTCTCCCCTCCCCTTTTTCCTTCTTTCTCTTTCTTGCAGGCACAGAAACCTGACAAGTCAGTAAGCTTATGTATGCCTTATTGCCAATTTGCATGACCTAAGCCTAGAAAACTCATTCCTTGACTTCCCAGTCACTGCCTAGCCTTTCCTGAGGAGTATGGGGCCTGTGTGTGTGTGAGAGGGGTGTTCCCCTCAAATGTGTCGGGGTGCATGTGTTTGAGAGGAGGGGAGAGGAGAGGGGAAATTGGGTCACATCAGGGGCTGTGGCAGGCTTGGGTGATGGATGTCTGTTTTCTCAAGGTTATTTGTGCCGTCTCGGCAAAGTCCTCTTGGGTTAGGCTAGAGCCCATCCCAGAGATGCGGTGGTGTTTGTAGCTTTCCTTGGGGGCAAATCTGAGGTGAAAAGACCTGCTTGTGTAGAAGGAGCCAGTGGGACATGGGTCCTGAAGTGAAGGGCTGCGGCTGGGTTCCTGCAGGAGCATTTCGGCACTTCCAGCCTGGTCTGGATCTTTGTAGGATGCAGTCATCTGTCACTGTGACTGCCTGACCCAGATAAGGCAGGGGAAGTGGTGCTAAATTTGGCAGGGTGGTGTGGTGTGTGTGGTGCCTCTTCTTCACAACATGGGAAAGGTGCTGGTGCCTTGAGCACCAACTGCCTATTCCTTCTGAACAGCTGCAGCAGAGATGCCGACGTTCATGGGTACGGATGCAGTATTTCTTCACCTGACCTGTCCTCTTTCTTGTTACTCCTGGATTTAGGGTTAATGCTCACCCCACTGAGGTGAAGTCTCCACCCCAAAGCAATCCCTTGCCTGATTATGGAGATTACTACCTGGAGGACCAGTAAGAATTGGCAAGGGGAGCTGGGTGGGCTGGGGTGTGGGAGGCCGCTAGGCAGGTGCTTGGCTGTGTTCCCTGCATGGGGTGCTCTCACTCGAGAGCCTTCCTCTTGGTCAGGTGGAGCAGCCCTGAAGGCCGAGGGGGCAACCGCTAGTGCCCCCACAGCTCGGATCCAAACTCTTCTTGACGGGTAAAACTCACCGTGTGAGGGGCTGTCACTGGGACAGCGCTGAGGCACTGGGGCGCTTTTTTGCAGCAAACAGGTTCTTTTGCGGCTCCCTGAGAGCATCTCCAAAATCTGGCCTATAAGTAGAAAGAGTCTATGCTTTCCTGCTTTACAGTATGTGTTGCGGACCTGTGACTCTCTGCATGTTGTTGCACTACAGCTCTCATCATCCCTGATCACTGGTCATGCTGGCAGGGACTGGTGGGAGTTGGAGTGCACTAACATTTGGAGGGCGACAGAATCCCCACCTTCCTTTGAGTTATCCGGAACCATCAGGCTGTCCACTGTTGGAAACAGGGTGCTGGGCTAGACTGACATTTTACTTTGACCCAGTTCTTACTCTTGAGGGGCAGTGGCTCACCACAGCCTGCGGCAGAGATCTTTCCCAGTCCTGCTCTGAGTTGTCAGGCATTGGCCGTGGGACCTTTTTCATACCTGACAAACAGGTGCTCCACTATTAATATACAGAAGCACATGTGGAGCCCAGACCCCTTGTGATCCTGCTGGTGTCACTTGCAGGCTAAGTACCTTCCAAGGTGTGTCTCTTGCTACAGACGATTGGTCAGAGCAGGCAAGGCAGTGCAGGGAGAGAGTTCGGGAGCTTGTCGATGCTTCTGCAGGGCAAGCTGCTTGCTTACCGTTACTCATTCCAGTCTTCAGAATTACAAAACTCTGGCCATGTCCTGATTTTTGGCTGGCTTCTGGGTGCTGCTGTCTCTGGCGCTCTGCTTGATGCAGGGTGTGCGTGTGTCATGCATGCCTGGCAGCTGCTCTTCCTAGTGCAGCCCTGGCTGAGTGCCCTTGTCTGTTCATAGGCACTCTCTGCGGCTGGTGAGCCTGCCGGGCTTCCTCCCCAGTGACTCCAGCAAAAAGAGACTTATTGAGGGCACAGAGGACTGGCGGCCCCGGACTGGCACGACCCAGTCTCGCTCTTTCCGCATCCTGGCCCATCTCACAGGCACAGAATTCAGTAAGTGTCTCCTCCGTGGGGACCAGTTGGATGGGTGCATTGCATGCGTGCCCCATTAGGGGCTGGTTCCACCCAGGGGGCAGCAAGAGGGAGCAAGCCCCCATTACTGCCCCCAGCTGCAGGGAGATGTTTGCAGGGTACCTGAGCACTTACGGCAGCTCGGGCTGCTTTCCACGAGCGCTGGCTGGTTTGCAGGCAGTCCGCGAGCAGCCAGGGTCAGGACGGCTCTCTCAGGCTCTCTCTCCCTCTCCCGGCCATGCTCTGTCGGCCTCATTCAGTCTGTCCACGTGCTGCTGAGAGCTCTGCAGGCCCCTCTCTCTGCTTCCCCCTTATCACTGCCTCTGCCCGGGGCTCGCAGCCTCCAGAGAATGTGATTTTGTGCCCAGAGCTTCTTTTCCACTTTTCTGCTCAACTTGGCTGGCTCAGACTCTGACGCTCTCTCTTTCTCATTTCCCTCTGCTGCTGCCAGTGCAAGACCCGGATGATGAGCATGTTAGGAAATCCAGGTAAGAAGGGGCCCCGTTTCTGGGCTAGGAGAGCAGACTCCTGCCTGACATCTCCACCCCACAGTGGAGGGCCTCACGCCAGCTTACAGACCGGCTTCGGGGCTCATGTGAAGGCCCTCGTCCTTCCTGCAGGGCCACTGAGTTGTTCGTGCCTGCTGGGGTGGAGGGAATGAAACCCTCCTCCTGGTTTGTGTATGCCCTGCTGTTTCAGTAGCTAGAGCTGTGCATGATGTGCTTTGCCATTTCTCTCTCTTGCAGACTTTTCTTTTCCTCCCACCTGTCAGTTCTCCTTTCATTTCTCTCTTTTCCAGAGAAAAGTTTGTCTTGGATCTTCAGAGCCCCCGTTATACTCGCCTGCGTGACTGGCACCACCAGCGATCCGCCACCTCTCTGAATGTGCTCTCCTAGGCAGCATAGGATGGCCCTTTCTTGCTCTTCTGACGCCGCCTCTCTCTGTTGCATGCAGATGTTGTTGGGAGGGTACATTTCCTACCTGTTGAACAAACCTTAAAAACTAGAAGCCCATGGTGACTCCTGCAGTGTAGCAATTGTCTGTGTTGGGGATCCGGAGGTCTCCTGCTTGATAAACTCTCACTTTGAGCGTCATGTCCCCACGCCACTTTTGTACGGGAAGGGATTTTATCATGCTGCAGCTCTACCGTTGGGCAGAGGAATGTGCTGTGCCAACTCTAAAGACGTCCTGGCGTTGGGAAGGTTGCTCCTACTGTTTTTCTTTCCCGAATAAAGAGAAGCTGTCTGCAGAGACCTTTCCATGCTCCTGGCCTCCGCATTTTAACATGGGTGGGGGGACACTGGCAGTGCAAGATTGCCTTGAAAGCAGGGAGGAGGCCTGCTGTTCTTCCTGTGGATTGCGGAGCGTTGCCTCGTTTCATGAGCTGCCAATGTTTCCCTTCCTGGTTGAGCCTTCCAGAGAAAGGGAAGACTTTTCCCAGCTGCATGTGCATCTGGCTGGAAATCCTCCTTGGGCTCCATGAGGTTTTTGGTACACTGCTCTTGGCACTCATCTTTGTTCAATTTCCCTTTATCCATTGCTGGTTACAGTCTCTCAAAAGCAGGTTAAATAAATTTAAGAAGTTCCTTTCATTTTAGCAGCTGAAATATAATCTCCCTTTCTTTGCAATAAACAGCTGCTGCAAAGGGCCCTGCCCTTTGCCTTTTCATTCTGCTTCTCTGGATCTGTCCATTTCCCTCTTTGTTCCAGTGGCCAGGAGTGGTTTTTTGCAATCCCCTTTCAGGCAAAGGGAGAGCATTCCTCTTTTATTGGACTGAAAGGTTCACGAGAACTTTCAAAACTTTCTTGCCACCCATAATGCAATGCGTAATAGATAAATCTTTGTATCAAATTGGTCCTCCTTACTCTTGAGTCACACCACCGTGCCTTAATTTAGCAAAGGCTCTCTCCTTTGGGTGACACTGATTTGGGTGTTTGTACTAAGGTCAGAGCAATTTCTTGAGAATGGGGTTTCTGGCCCTTGACCATTCCTGACATGGGCTTTTGCCTTGTGCAGGGGAGGTCACACGACCCTTTCTCGAGAGAGAATTGTTGTTATTGCTTTGACTACAGGCATGACACAGAACTCAGCAGCTCTCTGTAAATTCTGTAATCCACCCACCCCCGAGCTGCCTTCCACTAATGCCCAGCCAAGAGTTTGCAGTCTGGATGGAAACTGGCTTACTACCCTCTATATTGTAGTAAAAATAAATGCTCCTATTCTTGTAAATGGCTCGTGTCTCTTTTATTGGTGCATTGACTGTGGGAACTGGGGAAGCTGGGTTGACCACAGGGGCAGAATCTCTACGTTCACTTTGGAGCCAGCAGAACAGAGCCAGTATCTCTGCCCGCCAGTGCCTTTCAGGGGTTGTTGTGCCCTGGATTTCTCTTGGGAGTAAGAGCCTCGTGCTGAGTCCCCTGCCTGTTTCTCAAGGGCATTATTTCCTTGGGATAAAAGGGAGAACCCTGAACTTCTTGTGCCAGGGCTTCAGTGTGTGGTTGCAGGAGAGAAACAGGGTGGCAGTGCGGTGCAAGGATACATGCCTGTCATGCCGCATTTGCTATAGTGTTACCTGTCTGGCTTGGCTGCATCTTGGGCAGAGTCCCTGGGGAGGGGGTGAGAGGCCCGCATATGCAGTGGAGCACTGTTATTGCTCTTATGCGGTTCCTCGGAGGCCTTAGCCCAAGGGCCCCTGGCTGTATCAGTCAAAAGGCACCATGCAGTTCTTCTGTCTTTTCCTCCTCAGTGGATTCTTTGTGGTAAAAAGATGGCGGAGGTAGTGGGAAAGCGCAGGAAGGCAGATGCCTTGATTCCCTGTACAATTCTGTGCCTGGGGAGGGTGACTGCAGAATGAGGGCCTGGTCTGGCAGCACCCGGGAGTCGATCCTAAGCTTATTCCTTCATGATCTCTGTTGCCCTTGGCCTGATTTCAAAAAACCTTGCTGTGTGGGGTCTGTTCAGGCCTCTGACAAAAGCAAGCTGTTCCTTCCTTAGCAACTCACTGCATGGGAAGGAAGAGGGTGGGAGAGAAACACAGGTGGCAGAGGAGAAAGCAAGGTGGCTCACCAGACCGAAGCTCCGTCCCTGTACGCCACTGGCTTTGGCCTCTTTTGCTGCTGACAGGCAGCTCTGACAGATCACCCACAAGGGAGCAAGGCCCTCAGCAGAAGGAAAAAGGGCTGCTCTCCCTTCCTGTAGTTTATAGCACCTCTTTGCTCCTTCCTGCCTGCGAAAATGGTTTGCAGCAGATCTTGCTGGACTATGCAGTTTCTCATTCCAGGTGGGAGATTTCTTGTATAAATGAGGACTCCTACGTGTTAACGCCCCCGATAAAACCCTTCTCTGCACAGAGAATACATGTATGCTGAGTGGAGTGATTCCAACATGACAGTCTCCCACTAGAAGGAAGATGTGTGCGTGTGTGAATTCACCCCCACCTCCAGGCCAGTTGTAAACAAGCAAAGAAACACACGATCCCTCACTTGCAGTCCGAATGGTACAGTTCAGGAAAATTTGCACAGTGCAGTGCTTGTGTACGTGTGTGGGTGTGAAGGGGTGTCTCACATGCATTCCTTCTCTCCTTTGTTTTCAGCGGGTGCTTTTGCCTCTTGCAGTCAGTCTCTAAGCCACACACATTTCCTCCTCTTTTCCCCATATCGCTGCTGCTTTTGGCTAGGAGGAGTTCTTCAGGCTGGTGGCATCGTGCCCTCTCCATCTTGGGTCATCAGCTGGAAACTGGCTGCCTCCACTGTGAGGCTGCTGTGCCCCTTGCGGTTGGGCCACCCAGGCAGCCCCTTCCCCTTCACCCCCTGCCATGGGACTGGTGGCTGTGGGAAGTGCTCCTAGAACCCCCACACTGCTCATGGTGTGTTTGAGATGGCCGAGGAAGGCTGTTTGGGATGGCAGCTGAAGGCTTCAAGTGCTACAGCCCCATTGCACTGGACTGGGTGGTTCTTAAGGATGTGGTTTGCTCGAGGTGCCAATTGCCAGAGCCCTGTATGAGGCAATTGGGGGTTTGTTTAGAGCAAGTAATACACCCCCCCTCCCCATACCTTCAAAACACTCTAAAAAGATGGTGCAGAGAAGAGAGCATGTAGAGGAGACAGTGACAGGAAAAATATTTGTTACAGGAAAATAGGTTGAGGTTAAACTGAAAGGAAACCTTCCAAGGTCTTTAAGAACGTGCTTTAGCCACACTACAATATGGCAATGAGGCAGATGAAACTTCCTCTTTTGATGTTTTCAAGCAAAATGGGCAGGCCTCCGAGAAGGGCTACAAATGGCTTGACCACTCTGGAACAGATGCAAGACTGCGCACAGTTTATCAGAGCAGGTGGTCGAAATTAGTGTGCATGTGTGCGTGTGCATATGTGTGCGTGTGCGCACAAAAGACAGAGAGAACCTAGTTTGGTTTTAATTTGCTGCCTTATGTCACTCTGTGCCAAAGAGGCACATTCAGTCTCTCAGGGTTAAATCTCTTTAAATCCTAACTACCTTGCTGAACTTATGTCCACTTGTGAAGGAGATGAATGGCCGGGTGCTGTGACCGCTCGGTCTTCTTTTGCGTGATATTCATTCCCTGCCCTGGCAGCCATCTTATTCAGGCCTGCCCTACTGCCTGAAGTAAAGAGACCTTGGAGGGAGCGCTGCTCTTCCACTCCAGTAGGTTCACAGCGCCTCTTTTTGCACCATTGCCCAGTTTGGTGATGCAGGAACTATACCAAGAACACAAGCCAGCAACTCACTGCCATATGAGGGAAATTTCCTCTCAAAAAGCACACCTAAAAAAACGCTGCTCCCATTTTCATTTCCTTCTGACTCAGATCCTGTCTGTGCTTAAGTGGGATGCTTTTGGTGGTGCTGACAATCCCATACAGAACTTGCTATAGGACCCATTTATTTATTTAGGAGAACACACTGAGCTAAGAAGTCTTTGCCTGAAGAACGAGCTTGTTAAGCTGAACTAATACTATGAGGAAAGGAAGGTGAATGCTGTCTTTGCATTCGTGGGGAAGGATTAACTTGGGCAGTCTCTCTCTCTCTCTCTCTTTCTCACTCCCTCTTTCCAGCCAAGTTTTGTTTTTTGCATCCTCAGCACCCAAGACTGGAATAACAGGCCCCAATTCCTCTAAACATCCTAATAGCCCAACCAGCCAATAGTGGTCACTGCTGCACTGTGGGTCTGCATATGTTTTTGCCCCCACATCATGAATATTGTGTCCTGACCTCACCCCTCCTGTTGATCCATTGAGTTCTGGGAAAAATATTTACATCTGGTACCCCCTCTATTTTGATGTGGGCATAAGTTGCTAGCCTCTGCTTGGATGTGGGGAAAGGGCCCAGTTGCCTGCAACTAATTGGTTATTCTGTAGCCAGGTCTCGGTTCCTGATCTGTCTTCTGCGACAACCTTGAAAGTGGAACCTGGATATGGTAAGCTTGGAGGCTGAAGGCAGCTTGGGATGGTGATCTCTCGGGAGGAAGCTTGCTGGGGACATCTTTGGGGCACTGGTACTCTCTTTCCTATTCATAGAAGACACTGCTTTTAACTGTTCTTCACTGTGAAGCCATGGTGAACTTTAAACTTCCATGTGCATTCACGCATACAGAAATAATTCTTGCTGATTTGCTCAGATCCTTGATTCTGGGTCAAAATATAGCCCATGCAGGTTCTCAGATCATGCAGGGACCAACGCATTGTTTCAGACATAAAGTGCCAGATACCTTTGTTTGACTGTTCCAGGCCCTGCTGCTCCAAAGCCTGCGCCTGTCTCTGGTCCTGCCAGTCGCCCACCCTGGGCTGTGGATCCTTCCTTTGCTGAGCGCTATGCCCCAGATAAAACAAGCACCGTGCTGAGCAAGCACAGTCAACCGGCTACACCGACACCCATGCAGAACCGCAACTCCATTGTCCAGGCTGCACAGCAAGGACCAGAGGGTGCCAGCAAAACACCCATCTGCTGTCAGTGTAACAAGATCATCAGGTAAGCAGTACAGCTCTCCTAAGAATTCTAGATTTCTTCCTCTGCGCCTTGATTGACTGGTAGCAAGATGTGTGAACTAACTTCACTAATGAGGATTAAGCCTATTTGCATGTAACAATTCATGGGTTAATTTACTAAAATTTGCTGCAGCATCTGCCACCATTCTGCCAGTCAGAGTTGCTTTATGACATCCATAGCAGGACACTAGGGCCTGATTTACATGTAATAACAACCCAGAATATGGGTTGAGTGTGAGTTGTCTTTCAGTTACAGATCGTTGAATCATGGGTTGGTATTAGAAACCCTGTACTATAGTTTAACTATAGGTTGCTAACTCATATAAACAACCCAAGAAGGGGACCCATGGTTTGTTGCTGGGTTTTGAACAACAGATTGTTCACTAACAGTCCTGGAGTTAAGTCATAGTGCAAGCTTTTAGCACAATGTCAACCCACAATTTAATGAAAACCCATACTCAACCCATGTGTTGGATTATCATTGATGTGCAGACTGTGTCTGTGTCCAGATTCAGATATCATGTAGCAATGCCTGATGGGTTTGATTGAAGGCTGTATATGCAAAATGGCAGTGGAATGTAAACATGGATCATGGCAAATTATGGGTTAATTAAGCCATGATTTGCTGCCATTACATGTAAACTGGATATGTGTGTGTAGTGATATGAATGGTCTGCCAGTGAGAGATGTATGATGCTTCATTCACATGTGCTTGGCGATGCTGCCATTTTGAGGCTTCATTCACATGTGCTGGGCAATGCTGCCATTTTGATGTGTGCACGTAACCTCAGAAGGGTGCCCTTTTGCTTGCTCTGGATTCAGGATCAATGTATTACATTGCAGCGGGAAGAACAATCCTCTGGCAATTCCACATGAATGAAAAGATATAATAGTCTCCTTTTCCCCAAATGGACAAGATATGTTCTGATTTGTGTCCAAGTTCATTGCCAGTGCAGAGCTAACCCATTCTCTTTGCTTTCTGCTAGAGGACGTTACCTGGTGGCACTGGGACGCTACTACCACCCTGAAGAGTTCACCTGCTCACAGTGCAGGAAGGTGCTAGATGAAGGTGGCTTTTTTGAGGAGAAGGGCTCCATCTTCTGCCCCAAATGTTATGACATGCGCTATGCCCCCAACTGTGCCAAGTGCAAGAAGAAGATTACAGGGGTGAGTTGAACTGGAGTGCAGCCTTCAGCTTAGCAGGCTACACACAGAGTACGTTGCAAAGGCTCCCCAGCTTAGAAATAAGTATTTATTGCCGTTAAAGCATGCTCCTCTGGGGCTGCCAGAAAGACCCTACTGAGTCTTTCTGGTCTGTAGACGCCTCTGCTGGACTCTAGCTCCCATCTTCCCTGCCTATTTTGTATTCAAATAGGCTGATGGGAACTGGAGTCCAGAAGATTCTGTAGAGCCACAGATCCCCCTCCCCAGTGTTACGGTAACTCAAGGGCTTATGCTCTAAAGCACTTGCCCAAGGAAACAGCATGGCACGAACCTTGTAGTAGCCTTCCTTTTAACTCAGTTAGGGACTTGAAAATCATCTCATTCTGGTCTGATACAGCAAAGTGATAAAGAGCATGAGCTATGTTGCTAGAAGTCTGATTTAAATTGCTACCTGCTCCATGTTCCAATTTCCTTCCCTTCTCCAAAGCTGTAATGGGAGGATAACTCTTGCCTATCTTCTATCTTATAGGGTTCTTAGCACTGTTGAGATGGTGCGGGCATGACGTGTGGAAAGCTTAGTGTTATGCTGAGCACTTTTTTCTAAATAATCCTGCAGTGCTGGCCCAGAACACTCTGTCTTAGAGTGGAGTGACTTATGTTCTTGTGTCTGCTGTAGGAAATTATGCATGCCCTGAAGATGACCTGGCATGTTCAGTGCTTTATCTGCGCAGCCTGTAAAACACCCATCCGCAACCGTGCCTTCTATATGGAAGAAGGGCAGCCCTACTGTGAGAGAGGTATGTCCCCACCTCCTCTTAGCACCAAAGCAGCCTTCCCTGGAAAGCCTTGGAGGGCTGGGTAGAGCATCATAAAAAGTGTTTCTAGCCTTGACTCTCCTATCAAGGGCAGAAGGAAGAGCTTGGGGAATGAAGCACTTGTAATGGCGTCCTCCTCTGACCCTGGTCTGGGTACCCCTTGGTGATGGTTGCCAGGCTGGGCCAGTTCTGCTAGGTTGCTATGGAGATAGAGTGGTACCTGCATCACAGAGCACACTGCTGAGCATGCTGGGAAATGGTGTTCTCTCACTTCATTCCAGTTCTGAAAAAGACTGCCCTTTTCTGGAATATTCCATTGGGAGGTTTGTAGGGGGAGAAAGACTTAAGAAATGAAGTAGTCTCCCTCTCCACCCCCGCATTGTCTGATGCTGTGAAAGGAATTGGAATTCTCCCAGATGAATGAACAGCTGCCTTTCATCATAAGCCGGGTGGGGTGAGGAGAGGGTGTGCAGATTCTTAACAGCATGTGCAGCCTTGTTTAACATGTCCATGAGAGTTGTCTGCCATCTCCTCACAGGGCCTTCAGTCTTGCTGCCCAACAGGCTCCAAAACACAATATTAGAGGACCTTCTGTTTAGCACAGGAAAGGCCTTGATTAAAACAGGAGGCAGGGGCAAGATACAGGACTGTAGGACATGCACAGAAGGGGCTAAAGAAACAGCAGAAAACCTGGGCAGGATGAGCAGCACTGTGGATCAGACTGAAAGGCATTACCTGAGTGGGTGTATTTGTGCAGGATGAAACCATTCCTACCTGGGGCACTGGCAGCTGAGGCCTGGGCAGAAATCCAAATGAACCCTTTGAATTAATTTTAAGTGCTGCACATGTAAGCTGAATGGAGAGAAGGCTGCGTCTCAGAGGCAAAGCACAGCTTTGCACACAGGAGGTTCCTGGGCTCAGTCGCTGGCATCTCCAGGTGGGGTTAGGAAAGCCATTGCCAGTCAGTTTTCACAATATTGTAGGATCAAGTAAGAATTTTGTTGGCTGTGCATTTCAGCACAAATTTACCAAATTTGTACTTTCCAAATTTGTACTTCACAAACCAGAACAGTATGCCATCCAAATTTGGATGTAATATGTGTATTTAAAAACATGCATATATGTGCCTTATATTTGAAAAAAAATGCTCACGCAACTGTTTTATGCAGTGGAAAAGCTAATGTAAAAAGATGAAACTGAGCTTCTGGGGTTCACCCAGAGCTAGATGGCTCAAAGTCTGATTCAGTATAGGGCGGCTTCCTCTGTTCTTAGCTGCTCTTTCAGCAGAGCTCTGCAGCCAAGCCGGACTCCTCTCTGCAACTGTGGATTTGTGCTCTGTGAATGCCACTGCAAGCAGAGCTCTTCTTCCTGGCTTGGCCTCTAGATTTCAGATGTCTCAGCCTCAACATAATGTCTTCTTTCGCCACCTTCCCTTTTCCTCAAGACTATGAGAAGATGTTTGGAACCAAATGCCGTGGCTGTGACTTTAAGATAGATGCGGGCGATCGATTCCTAGAGGCGCTGGGCTTCAGCTGGCATGATACGTGCTTCGTCTGTGCGGTGAGCACATGTCTTCCCTCTCCCCCTCGGCATGTCCTGGCTATATCAGTACTGCAGCAATCCTGTCCCGCTAACACTTCAGGCAGTGCCCTGAGGCATTGCTCCTGGGCAGAGGCAAGATTGACTGGCATATATTTTGCTCTCAGAGGTGGATTCTTTTCCTGGTGGCATTGGCAGTGGACTTGCTGAGATTAGGCCATGCAGGCCTTGCTGCCACGGCCTTTCATCAAGCCATGTTAGTCCCTCCTGTAGACTAGAGCCAGGGGCCTCTAGCAGGCAAGAAACGCCAAGGCAAATGTGTCCACTGGGCAGCTTTTGTGGCATTGCCCCTTCCCTTTGTCCCTGTGAGGGAGCCGAGAGCCAGTTTGAGGGCCTCACTGGTGCTTGCCTTACTGAGCTTCTTCCTTTCTCCACAGATCTGCCAGGTCAACTTGGAAGGAAAGACTTTCTACTCCAAAAAGGACAAGCCCCTGTGCAAGACCCATGCCTTCTCCCATGTGTGAGGCAGAGAACAGGGAAGAGAAGACCTGAATGCCCATGTTGCTGGCCTTCCCTAGCCTTGCACCCCCTTTCCCCACATCCTGCCCTGTCCTGAGAGAGAGAACCCCAGACCTCTTACTTGATGATTATTCCCTTTAGGGGTGCAGGGCCCAGGCTCAGTTTCAGGAATTTAGATCATTGCTGCCCTCACCCCATAAAATTCTGTTCTGCACAAGCACTAAGTGACCAAGGCAAGACTGTCACTGCTCTTCCCATGCTGTGAAGCCATCGGGTCATCAGCCCAAAGGACTTGTCCAGGTCTTTGTTTCTGTGCCAGCCACACCCAGAGGAAGGGAGCCCCACTAATGCTGCTTGCCAGCTGAAGGATCCCAGGTAGTCACGGTCTGGCAAGGAAGGCATCAATTGAGAACAAGCCTTTCCTAGGTGGTCATTACCCAGGTTTATGTGAATAATTGCTGTTATGCCCGTGGCAACCACAGGTTTTCACAAAACTCGATTCTGGGTAGAGCCCATTATGTATCTTTTCCGACGTGGCTCCCAACTTCCCCTTGCCTTCCTTGAAAACTTCCCTGAAAAGTCATCACAAAAGATTACTATGATCCGGGCTGGCTCTTCCTTTCCAGTCCATTTGCCCTCTATCCATTAGTATGTATGTCCATGTTTAGTGGCAGAAACCCACTCTCAGCTATATTACCTCCAAGAAATTGCTTTTCCCAGAGTGCTGACCTCCCCCCACCCCCGCCCCATATGCCTTCCCTGCTAAGAAAAGTGTTTGCAGAGCAGGAAATACCCCACCAGCAGCAGCATCACCCTACTCCAGGAACTCAGTGACTTTCTCCAAGGAAGAGCGTTGTGCTGTAAGTTGCAACAAAATAATGTTAATTGCTAAGGAGGGCAGAGATGTTGCAGGATCTGGCCTCTTCTCCACACAGTCAAAACTGCTTCTTCAATGCCATGAAACGATGGAACATGCACTTCACTCCTCAAATACACTGTGTTGCGCCTGTCTGTAGCTCTCAGCCCCTGGGCCAGATGTGGCCCCAGAGCATGCCTGCCAAAGAGTTGTTACTTCTGTTTTGCATTAAATGTGTTTCCCAGAACCGTGCTGTCCGGCTGGGCATCTGTCATTCTTTGCCACCACGGTGGTGCTTTTAATGCGTAATAAAATATGTCTTTTAATTTTTTGTCACCCATGTAGGCTGTGGTTATTTCTGAGCTCCTGCAAAGCAGGGTACGGGATAGTGGGAATGGAGGAATGAGATGCATATCATGGTCTAGAAAGTTGGACAGTCACTTTAAAACAAGAGGAATCTTGTCTGTTTCTTCTCAGTCTGAGCCTTCTCGTTACACCTGGTGAGAAGGCAAATGGTTTCATGGAAATATTAGATCCATGGCTCAAGAACTCAGTCTTGCAGAACATCTGTGGGTGGGACTGGTGCTGTTTCAGTTCATAAAATGAGGGAATACACAGGAAGTCTTGCTGTCACTTGTGGCCGGGAGCTGAACTTCATCACACCTATATCACTTTTGGGAATGTGTAATGAAAATGACCATTCTTGGTTGTGGGGGTGCAGGGCTGTAGTTAGCATAAATAAGCAAAGTTCTTTTCTGCAATGGCTGTTCTAGTTTGGGGGAGTGATAGAGAGGACGACCAAAGTGTGATTAAATGGAGAAAGATAGTAGTGCTAGCAGGACCCAATGTTCTTTGGTCAAAACTGATTATAGGTTCCTAGAAACACTCAGTGCCTGCTTAAGCTAGCACACAGTTGCTTCAAGGGATGGGGAGTGGTACAAATTGAGGGACCATATTTCATTATCTAGCAATGGACACAGCGCTGCTTACCCTGCCTGGCTCCCTCTTCATTCTGTGAATTCAGGATTCATTTCTTCTTTTTATTTTTGTAATGAATCATTGTTGTGCAGTTTCTGACAAGTTGGAGAAGCCTTTCGTGCACTTCCTTATTCAAGACTTCAGTGCCTGTTTTGCTGGCAACTCTGTGATTCTGTTCTCCATCTGCCGTAACCTTTGCGCCTTCATTTCAGCTTCTGCTTTGGTATCAGTAGTTGCTGATCTTTCATTTGATGAGAGACACTTCCTTGCTGTTTACAATTTGCATGATGTTGAGTCTGTTGAGGTTTTTGGGGGGTGGGGCAGTTTATTTGGGTTTTTGTTTGTCTTTCAAGGAAGTTACTTGTGCATGTTTCTTTTCTTCTTTTTTCTTTTTAAATTGAACAGCTTTCCATAAAGGCCACATATGAGATGAATTCCTTGAGACATAATCACATGGAAAGTAATTAGTCAATAATCTATAAGCAGAGCCTATAGAACAGAATCGAAGGCCCAGACAGAGTGTGTTCATAAATTGCTGCTTAAGAGGGACACAGCTTTATGGCAAGGGAACCTGGGGTCCTCCAGATGTTCTAGCCAACAAGTCTCATCAGCCCTAGCCATAGTGAGGAATGATGAGATTCCTAGGCCAGAGCTGCTGTGGTATGGCATGCCTTTCCCAAAATTCTTGTTTTTTAGGAGATTGATGTGTTCAGTGATTTTGCAGAGGCCTTTTCTGGAAGAGGTATTGGGGCCATGCCCATGGAATTTTAGAAACCCTAGGCAGGAACTGGTGGGCAGCATCAGAGGTAGCGGGGCTGACTCGCCCTGTGATGCGTGCACAAAGGATCATTGAGCTTCACTGCCACCTAGGCTAGGTCGCCTACCTCGGGAGCATTGCTGTTGGAGATGGCATGGTTGGAGAAGACAAGTGGCTGAGAAAAGAAATGCAGTGCTAAGATGCCGGGGAAAAATCCCTCACGCTTGAAGAATGTTGGCACCTACTTTCCAAGGTGCCGTGACAGCCCAGCTGCTTCCCACCCACACAGTATGAGAGTGAGACTATGTCTGACTTCAAGGTCCTCTCTGAAAATGAGCTAAAGAATCAAAACAGGAGCCAGAAATCCTTCACAATCTCTCCCAATTCCTGTTCTCATGACATGAGAACCCACCGTGGGTTGTTTAACCCTGCCATTTCACATACTCCATCCCAACCTGTGCTTTGTTAACTGCAGGTTGTCATGTTCTGTGAACCTGGCCACTGTAGATTAAACAACCTTCACATAACCCTACAACAGACCATGGATGATGTGAAGGTTGTTTAACCCTCACATAACCCACACTGGCCAGGTTCTTGCAAAGGACAATCCCCAGTTGCAGGTGCCACACTGGGTTCTTGTGTTGGGCCAGAGTAGGGCTAGAGATTATGCCATCCTTGCCTATAACTTATTTGGGATGAATTCCATTGAAGCTTGGTAGGAAGCACTATTTTTGTTTATTTTTAGTAAAGTGCACAGGAGGCTGTCAGTTGAGAAAGCTGCCTGAAGCTATAATGGCATTCCTAAAGCAGTTGGAGTTTTGCTGTAAATTAGCAGCACCAGGGCTGTGGTACCTGCTCAAACTTTCTCCTGTGTGGAGATTTCCAGATGTGTTGGACTACAACTTCCATCATTCCTAGTCAGTGATTTTACAGGGTGTGGTAATATATTGCACTCCTGATCATTATGTATATCACCTGCTGGGCCATTTTAACCATGGATCTTGTGAGCCTTGTGCACATGTTTGTGCATGTGTGCACATCTGATGAAGTGGACTGTGGTCCATGAAAGTTTATACTGTAGGAAATGTGCTCATCTTCAGGGTGTCACAGCTATGTTGTTTTCGCTGCAACTGATTAGTAGGGCTACTGCTTTGGAGAGTGCTTTTGAGCATGTGCAGAGTGCTCCCTCCTCCTTCCTTGCATGAGACCATTACTTGAACTGCCGTGGTCAGCGACTGGGTTGGGAAAAGAGAGGCTTTTCTGAGCAAGCAGCAAATGGAAGTCTGGCTGGGCTTAGCTCAGTTTTTGCCTCTCCTCTTCCTCCTCCGGCAGAAAGTGGTGGGTTCTCGAGCAAAGCGCCTTAAGTGGTCTGACGCAAGATGGCTGATCCACCAGGCACCCCCCACGTGTGGGCAATTCAGGAGGAGGTCGGCGGTGCTGGAGATGGCTGGGGTGGGAGGGGGAGGCTGAGGCGTAGTCGGCCGGCGCTAGGACCCGGCGCGGCGCTCGCGGGCGGAGCCTCCGCTCCGCGCCCGCCCGGTTCCCTCGCTCGCTGCTCCTGCTGCAGTGTCTCCCAGGCAGGCGGGCAGGCGGCCTGTCTCCACCCGAGCGCGGTCCCCCGACTCGTCCCCGGAGCAGCATCGCCGCCGGCATGGCTGGCGTGAGCTTCAGCGCGAACCGCCTGGAGCTGCTGGCCTCGTACCAGGAGGTGATCGGGGAAGACAGCCCCACCGACTGGTAAGCGCTCCGGAAAGCGGGCGGTCCGGTTCTTTGTCCCCATAGCGGGGAGGGGGCGGTGGCCGCCGCCGCCGCCGCCGCTTTGTGCAGGGGGGCGTGGGCGGTGTCTGCCCGCCCGCTTCCCTGGGAAACCTCAATCCGCTGCCCCCCTCCGCCTCCCCTCTCTCTCCTTCCACCGCTCCCCACGTAGAGATAGAGGGAGATGGAGGGAATTCCGAGCCTCCCGCCGGCAAGATGCCCCCAGCCCGGGGACGAGAGGCGGTCGCAGCCTGAGCGAAGAAGCCATTAGCAGCCCAAAATGGTGCATTGGCAACGCGGCCAGAGCAGGGGCTGTTGGGACGAGGCCTCTTTTGTTGGGCGCAAGGAGGGCACTGGCTACAGATGCTCCGGCAGCTTTTTGGTAGTCTGGAGATCGGGCGGAGGAGACACAGGACGGCACCCCGTCCGGCGGAAGCCCCTCTTCTTAGGGGAGGGAGACGGCTCATGCAGGCCTTCATAACGTGTCTTCAGACACCCCACCCCCATGATGTGGGGCTCGGGAGCGCGCCTCAGGCGTGTGGAAGCTGCATCCGTACCAGGACGACGCCCCCCACCCCGGTCGCGCGCCTCCGCCGCCGCCTCTCCGCTTCCCCTCCCCCGGCACATCGTTTCGGATACAGCGGGGGCGGGTCCCTGCCGCCCTTTCCACCTGCTCCGCTCCTAGAAGAGCTGCTGCGACCCCCCTGCAGTGCCTCATCCAGACAGCCCCCGTCCATCCAGCTTGGCACTCGGTCCTAATCTGCGCTTCGCTCGTGACACTTGCCCAGTCGGACCCTGGATGCCAATTTTGGCTCCCCTCCCTTTGGGGGTGAAAGTTATCTCATAGAGACACGCTACACAAAGGAAGGTGGGGCTGGACGTGGAGGGAGGCGGGGGTCTGAAGGCTTGAGGGGAGGGGCTGGTGGGCTGCAAGTCGGATGGGAAGGAGGGGTGAAGAAGGGGCTGTGTGAGAGGAGCAAGGGGGGCATCATCCTCCGGCAGCCATCCCCGCGCAAGAGGGCAGGGCCCCCAAATGTCGCATCCTTTGATGAGAGCGGCTGAGGCCTGAAGCTGCAGAGAAACCGGCAGCCCGTGTGTGCCTTTGGCAAGCGGGCTGCTCTTTCTCTTTCGAGGATGGGGCAAGGGCCCGTCCCAGGCACACATGACTCCTCCTGCAAGCCACTGCCACTGCATAGGGAAGTCTTGCTTTGAGGACAGAGAGGGAGGGAGAGACGTAAGGGGAGCCATCTCCTACAAAACCTCCAAAACAATAGGCATGGGCTCCATTTTTGCAGACACCTAATTGGGGAAGGGGGAGGGGAGGGTGTTAATAACGAGGCCTGCTTGTTCGTGTTTCCAGCTAATGGCTGTTCACACTTGGAGGCAGAAGGTTCCTGTTAGCTTCCTTTTCTTGATAATGCTTTGAGACTTCAGGCAAGTGACGAAGTCCCCCATGTTTGCAGCTCAGCTGCATGGCACAGGCAGTCGAGAGTTATTCCCAGGTAGTTGAGTGTGGGGGCCTCTCTTGTGGGGGCCAAACTGGATGGAGGGGTGCAAGCGGTACCCAAGTGAGCAGCATTCTGTCGGCAGTAAGCGCTGGGTTACCTTGTCTTGGAATGAGATGAATTCACCCTGCCATTACAAAGCAGTTAATCAGGGACCTATTACACACCACCACAAGGGAAAAGCAATCCCTTACAGTGTTTAGACCTGGAAGGAATTGGCAGCCTCCGATGGCTTGTGTTTGGCTGTGAATATCACTTTCAGCATTAGTGCGCCATTGTAAAATTGGGGACCACCCTAACTTTGTTATTGAGATGAGGAAGTTAAGGAACAATAAAAACACACTG